TTAGTAGAGACGGGATTTCACCTTGTTGACCAGGATGGTCTCGATCTCTTGACCTCATGATCCACCCGCCTCGGCCTCCCAAAGTGCTGGGATTACAGGCGTGAGCCACCGCACCCGGCCATGTATCACTTCTTAACGTATTGTAGTTCCACACTTACTATTCAGAGGGTTTATTGCAAACACGTTGTGACCTTCTCAAAACCAGTTCCATTAAACAGTGCAGAACCTGCCCTCAGACAAAGATGGTGAAAATCAAATGTTCAATTTTCATAATTTTGGAGTCCAAGGATTCCCAAGCACAAAAGAAAAGCCTGTGCTTGCAGCGGGACGCACCATCTGAGGCGAAGGAATTTGCTCCCGACAGACACTGAAGTACTCACCAGCTCTGTCACTATCATTACCCATTCCTCAGCAGCAATTCCAACTCAGTCTGCTGGAATAACTATCCACATAGAATGCCTCTTTGATTTTAAGCAATTATTTTCCATCTTAAAGTAAATTTATTTTTTATAATTAATAGACATTTTAGTGCAGTTTTAGATTTACCAAATAAATTACTAAATAAATAAATGGGCAGATAGTACCTAGGGTTCCATATACGCACCTCATCCACCAGTCCCCATTTAATTTATTTTTAATGACAGAAATAATATATGAATGCATTATTCTTATTGTCTATAATGAAGGCAAAATTAGCCTGGGTCTTGCCTCCTCTTCCTTGTAACCACTGTGATCATTTTGGTGTGTTTTCTTCTAGGACTTTTCCTGTGATATGTTAATATATATATGTATCCCAGCAAGTGATTATTATTATAATCATTATTTTAAAGCCAGTTGGTGTCCTGAATGTCTTCGTCTGCAGCTTGCTTTCTGCTAATTACCAATGTGTTTTGAAGATGCTTCCATGTTAGTTTATTTATCCGTCCACCCACAGATAGACATTGGTGCTGTTTCCATTCTTTTGCTCTTATAAATGATGCAGAATCATAGTCTTTGTAAACAACATGTTGGTTGTGCTTGTGTTTCTTTGGGATGTGGAATTTCTGGGTAATAAGACTGGTGTTTTGTTTCATTTTGTTTTTGACTCAGTCTCGCCCTTGTCCGTCTGGCTGGAGTGCAGTGGTGCGATCTCGTCTCACTGCAACCTCCTCCTCCCAGGCTCAAGCGATTCTCCTGCCTGCCTCAGCCTCCCGAGTAGCTAGGATCACAGGCACCTGCCACCACACCTGGCTAATTTTTGTATTTTTAGTAGAGATGGGGTTTCACCATGTTGACCAGTCTGGTCTCGAACTCCTGACCTCAGGTGATCTGCCTGCCTTGGCCTCCCAAAGTGCTGGGATTACAGGCGTGAGTCACCAAGCTCGGACTAGTGGTGTGTTTTAAGAAATGGATACTGTAATATTAACCTCGAAAACGTCTTTACCAATCTGGAAAGATAAGCGATTGTTGTAAAAAAAAAAAAAAAAAGTCTTTACCAACTTCTATGTTCACCAGCAGGGAATGAGAGTGTCCCCTTTCCTGCACATTCACCAACACTTAATATTGTCAGAATTTAATGGGGGAAATGGTTTCTTATTTTAATTTGCATTTCTCTGTAATTACTAGTGATGTTGAACATCTTTTCATATGTTTACTGGGCATTTGTATTTTCTAGCCTTTCTTTTCATTTTAAAATAGAGATTAATAGGAAATAAGGATTTAATTTGGAGGCTTTATTTGGCAGCTGCTTTTCTTGAATGTGTCTATTCTGGAATGGCTGAAGTAAAGAAAAATTTTTTAAAGCACTTAATATCATTAACATGGCAAATTTGACCTAGGTTCCAATTGTAATTTAAATGTTTGGTGGTTAAGTTTTACATACGTTACCTTCCTTCCTTACCTACCTTCATTGAAATGATGTATAAAATCAAGAGCATGTTTAATCATTTTTCTCATTTGATCCAAGATATCAGCTCTCAGAACCCCTTGAGGCTGAGGACCAACTTCTATACCTAGGTACAGAAGGAGAAGGAGTCACATTTACATCAGTATTAAAATATATTATAAAACTAAGCATTTTAATGTATCAAGATTTAGAATTACGTTCTTCAAAATTATTGAAAAGGTGAATCACGTAGCATCAAGGAAAATATTTGAGGCATCATGTTTGGCAAAAGGAAAGCAGAACATGTACACGTTTAAGTTCTATGCATAGTGAATAAAGACCAGGAGAGAACATGGAAGAGAAATCAGTAATGTTAGACATAGGAAACTCTGTGGTTTTTTTTTCCTTTTAATTTCCTTCAATATTGCAAAATATTTAAAAATCATAACATAGTAGAAGTGGTGAACAAGTTTATGCGACAAAATAAGAGGTGGACACCAAGAGAAACTGTTAAGGTTTGACATTTAGCTTTGACAGGAGGAAGGACATCTATTTAGTCACAGAAATCTAGACAAGATGAACCATGGATTTAAGTCAATGTGACAATCTGTGTGACCCTTCAGCAACAATTTTTGTTTTTTGAGTCGGAGTCTTGCTTTGTCGCCCAGGCTGGAGTGCAGTGGCGCTATCTTGGCTCACTGCAACCTCCGCCTCCCGGTTCATGCGATTCTCCTGCCTCAGCCTCCTGAGTAGCTGGAATTACAAACTGTGCCACCACGCCCAGCTAATTTTTGTATTTTTAGGAGAGGCAGAGTTTCACCATGTTGGCCAGGTTGGTTTTGAACTCCTGACCTCATGATCTGCCTGCTTTGGCCTCCCAAAGTGCTGGGATTACAGGAGTGAGCCACTGCACCTGGCTGAGCAACAATTTTGACCTTAACATAACAATCCATCCTAATATAATCGTGCAATAGTTTTAATTTTTCTTTCTTTTTTTTTCTTTTCTGAGATGGAGTGTCAATCTTGTTGCCCAAGCTGGAGGGCAATGGCGTGATCTTGGCTCACTGCAACCTCTGCCTCCCAGGTTCAAGCGATTCTCCTGCCTCAGCCTCCTGAGTAGCTGGGATTACAGGCAAGGGCCATCATTCCTGGCTTATTTTTGTATTTTTAGTAGAGATGGGCTTTTGCCATGTTGGTGAGGCTGGTCTTGAACTCCTGACCGTAGGTAATCTGCCCTCCTGGGCCTCCCCATGTGCTGGGATTACAGGCATGAGCCATCATCGCGCCCGGCCTGGTTTTAATTTTATGTAGGAAAAATGTATATTCATTTTCTGTGACTCATATGAAAGGATGCCTGAACTGCTGGGTCTACTTTGTATGGCTGTCAAACATCCATCCTGACACCTACAAAATACTCTTTCTGTAAACTACTTCTGTCGACCCTTTCTTCCTACCCAAGCCTCCCACAAAGCCACCTCCCCAGCCATCACCTTCTCCATTTATCAAACCATTTACCAAACGCACCACCCTCATTCTACCCTCATTCTCTCCCACCCCCTTCATGGACTACGTTCTTTTACACTCACCCTGTTTTCACCCACTTCTGTTATTTCCCGACACACAAAATCCTGTCATATCCTCTTGCATCATTTTTTGTTTATTGTGCTTAGGTTTCTTGCATAAATGTATGAACATATATTTAAGTACATGGCGTCAGAAATGCATCTGTGCATAAATCACTTATGCAAATATGTGAAAAAGTGTGTTTGTAGATGTTTGTAGGAATCCTACAGAATACGTTGTCGTTTGCCTACCCTAAATCCACTTCACCTTCCTCCTTTTTCTAATAGAATCCTGGTTTTAGTTGGGCTTCCAATCTTCAGGGTAGGTAAATTTTTCTTCAGTTGAAGAGTAAATGTTGAATAGTTTAAGTCAATCATAGTAATCCCCTAGTCAATGATTTAAGAATAAAGGAATCTTAATTATGCACAAAAGTATCAATACTTGAAGTAAGGAACTGGCATAAGCTAAATACCCAAATATAGGCAATTACCTGAAACAAACCAAAGGCTTAGCAGTAAGAGATACAGATCCTGTTTCTCTGTGACACCAGATAAAAGCACAAGCTTTCCAAACTTTCAAATATCAATCAGTCTTGGTCTCTGCTATTTGCAGGCAATGCTACTCTTAGACAGAACAAACATCTGCTGATATGTTTGGCCCTTACAAGTTGAGCCAGATCTTTAAAATGTTTCAATCTTTGGGAATATTAAGCTCATTGTAAATAATTAGAAATGTTATATGTTCTCCTTCCAACTTTGCTGTTTTATTTGCATGATTTTTATCTCATGCACTCATTGGAAAATAAAGCATGTTTAACATCAGAGAGACAATCTTTCTGAGTCAACATTTTGTAACACACTGAGAATATTACTGCATACAAATTTGCTTTAACTTCTAGTCGGCACTTACAAGGACCACCTTTGCATTCTGTTCCCACGGCAGAAGAAATGTGACAGGATCATTCTAGGTAAATCTTATCCTGAAAGAAGCAGTGTACTGCAGCCTGCCTTAGGATCATGCAGACACACACACACACACACACACACACACACACACACACGGGAAGGCAACTGGACACAGCCTTCTCCTAATTTTCTCAGATCAACCATGGTCTCATTTGAGACTTAGAGAAGTTGTTTGTGTAACCATTATTCATTCAGCTTCGCACCGGACTCTGCCATAGCCATGTCCTACAATCTAAATATTCTGCTCTGATATGAGATCTTGTAGTGAAAACCTGGTAGTGAAAATTTAACTTTTGGTTTGGACAATATGGTCACCAAAGATGGCCATATAAAGATCTCTTTATTATGCACAAAAGGATCAATACTTGAATATCCAGAATAATTTTAGATTTGTATTTATTTACATTGTTTGCCAACCTGGTTTTAAATTAAATTACTCTTAGCTAAGCCATCTGAGGTTTAACAAAACTATTTTAAGTTGTAATTTTAATTGTAGCATAGTCTGCAGATAACTCATTATGCTAATGGGGCGCTCAGGAAAGAGAATGGAATAGATAAGAAAGAGCATCTGTTTGAGAGGGTGCACCAGAGTGTGGGGCTGCATGTTGGAAGTACCAGAAGGTAAAGATGGACTCACAGCCTAGTAACTGGCAGGGTAAACAAGAGAACAGATGACAAACAGTTCATGAAACATATATTGCAAAGCAGGTGACAAGAGGGATATGGAGAGAGGGTTCTTCATGGGCGTTTTGCATTTCTCCAAGTCTCGTGAGCAAGACACGAACTTTTTTTTTTTTTTTTTTTGAAATGGAGTCTTGTTCTGTTGCCAGGCTGGAGTACAGTGGTGCGATCTCAGCTAACTGCAACCTCTGACTCCCGGGTTCAAGCAATTCCCCTGCCTCAGCCTCCGGAGTAGCTGGGATTATGGGCACCCACCACCACACCCAGCTAATTTTTGTAATTTTAGTAGAGATGGGGTTTCACCATGTTGGCCAGGATGGTCTTGATCTCCCGACCTCATGATCCACCCACCTCGGCCTCCCAAAGTGCTGGGATTACAGGCGTGAGCCACCGCGCCTGGCCTGACACAGATTATTTTTGTTCCAGATTATGTTTTCAAGGATGTCTGTACAGTGAACAGCCTTGGAAGTTAGGAATGGGGTTTTCCTTGGGGCAAAGGGCACTCATGCTTACTGCCCATTATACAAGATTAAGATTCCTCTGTTTAGTGTTTCTCTCCTAGAATGCAGCCAGTGGCATGCAGAACTGCCTCTGACTCCTTTCCTGTCACCCTGTGGGAGCTGGAGCTTGGAGAGTGGAGCAAAAGTGCTGACACTCTGCTATGACTACTGTTAGTCACCTATTCTTGGTCTCCGTTTTAGGAGTCTTGTGTCTTCTACTGGCATCCACTCAAAAGTGCCAAGCTCATCGTTAACGCGTAAGTCAGGTGAAATTTCTCAGATCTTTTACAGGTCTTGATAAGGAGAGGCCGGAAAACAACCTGGAGTAGGTCGCTGGCAGCACGAGCACTTCGGAGAAACAGACCCCTTGCCTTTCTGATCCAATCAAATCTGACCACTCTGGGCAAGCTCATGAATGTATGTATTACCAAAGTTAGACGGCTAGTATTTTTCGCAGTGGCTCACACCTGTAATCCCAGCACTTTGGGAGGCCGAGGCATGTGAATCACCTGAGGTCAGGAGTTCAAGACCAACCTGGCCAACATGGTGAAACCCCATCTCTACTAAAAATACAAAAATTAGCTGGGCGTGGTGGCACATGCCTGTAATCCCAGCAAGTAGGGAGCTTGAGGCAGGAGAATCTCTTGAACTGGGGAGATGGAGGTTGTAGTGAGCTGAGATCATACCATTGTACTCCAGCCTGGGTGACAGAGCAAGACTCTGTTTCAAAAAAAAAGAAAAATTTCTCTGAGTTTCAGCTAGGATATATTTTATTGCATTATGTCAATGGGAAATACGACTTACCCACAGGATACTTGGCTATAGAACGAGTGGTTGCATATTTGAGGGAAGGATGCTCAATAAGGTACACATAGCAGGGTAGTGGAGCCAAGGAAGTCTGAAAAACATTTAAAACGCCTTTCTCATTATGTAAAAACTGCGTTTTGTTCTCTCCGCTTCAACAGAGTCAATAATACCTTCAGTACGTTTTACTTCGTCAAGTAAGATTGGTAAGGTAGCTTTATGAAACACTGTAAAACCCAATGTTTGAAGATTTGAAAACAAATAAATTATACAATATAAAATTCATATAAAATTGAATTATGTCATGTCTTCCCAGGTAAAATGTACATTAAATAGTTCTCCAGACCCATGATCCAAAAACATGAATTCAATGTTCTTTCTTAATGGCTGTGGTTATTTTTATTTCATCACTGGTGGCGCTATTTAGCTTGGTATTGGTGTCTTAAACAATTCTGTTTCTACCCCTGTGGTCCAGCTCTCTACAGATGTTGGGTGATTCCCCCTCCTCCTGCTTATCCTCATGAGAATTTAAGACAGGCCTCTTGGTTTTGATAACAAAGTGTCAGCAATACTGCTTCCATGTCTGGCCACCAAAGCATTCAGCTCTCTTCAATAGGCAACAAGGAATAGCTACATTGTATCTCCTAACAGGACCACCGCCCAGTTGTTACCCAAAGCTTAAGGGAAACAAAAATAACAGTTAATCTTTACTATAGGTTAGGTATTAGGCTAAATGCTTTAAATACTTTATGTCATTTAAGGCTTTTAGTACCGTCCTGGGTAAGTGTTGTTACAACCCCAATTTTATAAAATGAGGGAAGTGGCCGGGTGCGGTGGCTCACGCCTGTAATCCCAGCACTTTGGGAGGCCGGGGTGGGTGGATCATGAGGTCAAGAAATCAAGAGCATCCTGGCCAACATGGTGAAACCCCGTCTGTACTAAAAATACAAAAATTAGCTGGGTGTGGTGGTGCATGCCTGTAGTCCCAGCTACTCGGGAGAGTGAGGCAGGAGAATTGCTTGAACCTGGGAGGCGGAGGTTGCAGTGAGCCAAGGTCACACCACTGCACTCCAGCCTGGCACCTGGCAACAGAGTGAGACTCTGTCTCAAAAAAAAAAAAAAAAAAATGAGAGGAGCACGGTTTGAGGAATGGTGTGTTCTGTCTAAGGTTAGTGAAGGAGAAAGTGAGGATCTGAACACAGGTTACGCTCTTTCCTCCCAATCATACGAGCTCTCAGGAAGGAAGGCTAACTAGTGCACAGAAATAAGCATACAAATCTTTATGTGTGTTTCTGGTTGGTTGCTATTTTCTAGCAAATTTTCTCTGAGATTTCTGAGCTTAAAATGATTACCCATATGAAGCGCTGAAAGATTAGATGTGTTCTGGGGTATCTAGATCAAATGCGGACAGGGGCAGGACTAAAGGGAGGAATCTTTTTATCACTGGGCTTTAGTCAACATTAAATGACTATTTCTGAAGTTTTCTAAAACCTTGTAATTGAGATACTTTGACCACACCATTTAAAATTTTAATATTAATTTTACTTGGTTTTAACAAATAGCGCACAATCTGGTGCTATTTGTAGACACGAGAATCCACAAGTGTTTTATTATTTTATTAATTGTGTTTATGGTTTTACTTATTTCCTCTCTTTTTCTCCTTCCTTTCACCACTGCCTCTGTATTTGGCAGCACCCTTTCCCGCAGCCACCAAGCCTGACGGTGGAATAAATCCCATTTGTCTCACACCTTCCCTTGTAACTGTTTTCTGATTGTCTCACATCTATAATAGACCTAAAAGTACAAGTCCTTTTCTAACTTATAAATTAATAACATTAACATTACCTTAATATAATGAAACATCTGAATTAAAAAGTTATTCCTGGAATCCTCAAGAATAAGAGTGCACCCCATGTTAGAGGTAGTATTGTGAAGGTCAAAAATAATGTCATAAGAATCTTCACTATTTTTTGGACCAAATAAATGATTTATTTCTTGAGCTCTTCTCACTTCATATGGCAAATCTTCTGACATTTTTTTGCTGTTATAAGCAGAAAGAAAAAGATTAGCAACATCTGTGCTGAGATAATATAAACACAGAATAAGAACACAGTGTGAAAACGACCAGTTGCCAAATCTTTAATATGAAAAATCTGTATGGGAAGTAAAAACTTACCTGAAATATTTATAAATAAAAAATTACATGCTTTTTCTTCATTTGATTCCATATAACTAATGTTGCATTGGCATGCTTACAAAATAATAAGTTTATTTATGTGGCTGTTCATGAACAGGACAGACATATCAAGCAGAATTTATCATTTTGATTTCAGTCTTGAACAAAACATATCCATTAATTTAACAAACAGTTTCTTAGTAGTTATGGTATACTGGGTTATTTATTATGGGACTAGACCATCAAAATGCATCATTTTCTCCCCACTTTAGCTAACTCTAGTGCACAAATATAGTCACTTAGGGGCTCACAGAATCTAATTAGAGATCCTTTTAATTTTTCTGAGACAGGGTCTTGCTCTGTTACGCAGGCTGGAGTGCAGTGGCCCAGTCATGGCTCACTGTACCCTCAAACTGAGTTCTCCCATCTCAGCCTCCTGAGTGGCTGCAACTACAGGTGCATGCCACCATGCCCAGCTAATCTTCTTATCTTTTGTGGAGATGAAGTCTTGCTATGTTGCCATGGCTGGTCTTGAACTAAAATCGCCTTTGCAAAAATTGTAAATGAGAAAATTATCTTATTTATTTATTTATTTATTTTTGAGACAGAGTCTCACTCTGTCACCCAGCCTGGAGTGCAGTGGTGCGATATTGGCTCACTGCAACCTCTGCCTCCCGGGTTCAAGCGATTTTCCTGCCTCAGCCTCCTGAGTAGCTGAGATTACAGGCACGTGCCACCATGCCCTGCTAATTTTCTGTATTTTTAGTAAAGACAGGGTTTTACTGTGTTAGCCAGGATGGTCTTGATCTCCTGACCTTGTGATCCGTCTGCCTCAGCCTCCCAAAGTGCTGGGATTACAGGCGTGAGCCACCATGCCTGGCCAACTGAGACAATTATTACAATGAAAGAGATCTAACCTGACTTCATCTTGCTTCTAATCTCCAAGCCAGCCTCGTTCATGCCTGGGTGTAAACTGAACTAACTTTGGGAGGAACTTGGTTTATAGTTTAACTTTAAAACGAAGATAACAGCTCTTTCCCAAAACAGACCCCCTTCCTACCTGGGGACTAGACTGCCTTTGCAGTCTAACGAATTAGCCCCAAGATTAGAAATTATGGTTTAAATGTCGTGCAGCTGGAGGCCGCAACATTCTGAACCTCCTCAAATTGCTCCTGGGGATAACACCACTATTGTAAAACCTAAGATCAGCACTTGAGGTATTTTGCAAACTCTGAACTTGGTAGATCAGCTGGCACCAACCAGAAGGATAAACTGGCTCCTCTGGTCTTGTGGCCGCCACCCAGGAACTGATTCAGTGCAAAAAGACAGCTCCAGTTCCCTGAGTTTACCTCCGATCTGACCCATCAGCGCTCCTGACTCACTCCCTATGATTTTACCTCCGATCTAACCCATCAGCCCTCCTGACTCACTGGCCCCCTACCCACCAAATAATCCTGAAAAATTCTTATCTCTGAAGTTTCAGAAGACTGATTTGAGTAATAATAAAACTCTGGTCTTCTGTATAGCCAGCTCTTTGTGAATTAAACTCTTTCTTGCAATTCCCTTGTCTTGATAAATCAGCTCTGTCTGTGCAGCGGACAAGGAGAACTTGCTGGGTGGTTACGGAACTCCTCCTGCCTTGGCCTCCCACAGCTCTGGAATTACAACCTTGAGAAACTACACCTGGCCTACTTAGAGGTTCTTAACTGAGGTCCAGGGACAAAGTTTCCACAGAGTCTGTAACCTCTTCGAAAATGCCAAAAGTTTGCTGGTACGCATATGTGTATTTTTCTGGCACGAGGGCCAATAGTTTTTCTTCCATTCTCAAATGGGCCTCTGTCCTCTCCCCACTTCCCGAAATGGTTAGGGTACATTTTTTTCTATATATAATAATGTTTTAAATTTACTTTTCCTCATTAAGCCATTCAAGCACATTTTCCCTAAAATTCCATCTATTTGTATTCCTTGGCTATTTTTGCTAGTATCTTCAAGGGACCTACTGTTTACAGCTGGGTAAATCCTGCCTGGAATGCAATCAGGAAAGTGGAGTCGTTATTTTGTGACTTAGAAGCAAATACCATGAGGACAAAGCTGGCATGTTGAAAGAGTGCAGCGGGAAGATAGAAGGAGACTGTGACGTTGACGACATGCTCTGGCTGCTGCATGGGACCCGGACTGCTACCTCTGGACTTACTACTTGTGATCAAGAAACTTATTTGTTTAAACCACTATTCTCAGGTTCCTATTATCTGCAAACAAAATCTAATGGATAGTTATGCATTTTAAAGATTAATTCATGAAATAACCCCCGAGGTTGCCCTCAACAATTTTGGTTCTATGCCATTCTTCTGCATTTGGGTTAACGGAGGTAATATCTACCCAGTTGCTCAGAGTCAAGCCCTGAAGTTTTGAAGTGATGGACACTTTGAGTTCTCATGCCTGCGGTTCAGCTCCATGGGAAGGGTCCCAAGGGATGGAGAACAGGGAAGAGTGAGATTCTGAAGGGCGTTAACCGTACTAAATCAATTAAATCTACTCTGGACACATTTTAAAAGGATTTTCAACAGGGAAGAGACACGATGAGATTTGCATAGTAGGATGATTCCTAGAGATATCAGATGGAAAACAGGTGGCAGGAAGGGTCAGAGCAAGTCTGGATGCAGACAGATCTTGGAGGCTCTTCTAACTGTCCAGAGAAGAAATAAGCTAAGGAAGTAAAAACGGAGAGAAAGGCTGGATTTGTAAAGAACTTGCAAGGAGTAACTGGGAGGACTTAGCAACCCGCTAGACTGGGGTACAGAGCCCTGGGAAGGTTCTAGGGTGATTTTCATAGGGGACTTGGTAGGTAATGAAGCTACCACTGAGGGAAGGAATACAGGAAAATGAATAAATTTGGGAGAGGTAAGATGGGAGAAGCTAATTAGTTTATCTATTTTATACTCTTTTAATCACCCTGAGAACAGTGTCGTCTGTGAATACTGTTAAGAGTAAGAAGCAGAAAGTGGGTTTAACTGAAAAGACTGTGCTCACTGAAATGCATACAGTTGGGCGCTCATAAACTCGCCCAGTCAATTTCAGACTTCTTTGGGAACTTAATATGCCAACTAAAAGTTACTCTTCAATAAATTCTTACTTGTAATATGGCCAGGTGTGGTGGCTCACGCCTGTAATCCCAGCACTTTGGGAGGCTGAGGCAGATGGACCACAGGGTCAGGAGTTCGAGATCAGCCTGGCCAATATGGTAAAATCTCAACTCTACTAAAAATACAAAAATTAGCTGGGCGTGGTGGTGGGCACCTGCAGTCCCAGCTTGGGAGGCTGAGGCAGGAGAATTGCTTGAGCCCAGGAGGCAGAGGTTGTGGTGAGCCAACATAGTGCCACTGCTCTCCAGCCTGGCGACTGAGTGAGATTCTGAGATTCCATCTCCAAAAAAAAAAAAAAAAAAAAAAAAAAAAGTTAACAGCTATCTTAGGTTAGTATAAGCATGAATTGTGTTGACATAACCTTAGTCATGAAGATAAAGCATTTCTCAAGTTAAAATTTATGCTAGTAAAAATATGACTTGATGCAAACAGGATGATGACTACTGTATAATTGCTGTAAATAACATCTGTTCCATAAAGCGAGGCATATTTCTATTAAGAATGGTATCCATCTTTCGATCTTGCTGAGACTAAACCTAAGGAATTGTCTAACTCAAATTAGAGTTGATCAGAAAACAAGCTCATAGAACGGTGCCCCGAGTTGTGCCTGTGCGTGTCTTCTATCTTAGCTAGTAGTCTACTGACTCCTTGAGGGGTAGAACCCACGTTTTATAGAGCTTTGCACTCCCCCAGTACCTGGCACGGTTTCCTGAGAAAAACAGATGTTTCACAATATTTTTTAGTCAAAGAAAGAAAGTGGCCGGGTGCAGTGGCTCCTGCCTGTAATCCTAACACTTTGGGAGGCCGAGGCGGGTGGATCACGAGGTCAAGAGATCGAGACCATCCTGGTCAACATGGTGAAACCCCGTCTCTACTAAAAATACAAAAAATTAGCTGGGCATGG